CATTGTCATTGTCATTGACATAAAGTTATATAAGATTAATCTGAGAGTTTTTTACCAAAAAGGAAATTTTTTTATAAAAAGGGAAATGATTTTCAATTTCGAGGCAATTCAGCAGGTGTTTTAATAACAAATTGAGAAATGATTTCCATAGAAAATCTCGTGACAAAATTTATAATAAATTTAAAATAAATGATCAACAAATGATCAACAAAATCGTTACTAGTTTTATAAAAAACGCCCAATAATATCTTTTTATTGTTTTAATTTATGCCGATACTAATAAAAAATAATAAAAGCTACATAGAATAATTTATAATCACAAAAATCTGATATAAAAATATTTCCTCATCGGTATTATGTTATACCGATGATTTTTTTTGTAAATTATTCCACCGGTATAAAATCCATCGGTGTGTATATACGCCATACACAATGAGATAATTAAAGTTATTTCTTCCTAAAAACAAATAATAAAATCGGTTCAAATCTTTTATCGGTAGATCTTAATAAAACAAATATATATAATACACACCCCAGATGTTACGTTCGCTTGGGCAAATAAAACATTTTTTTCTTGACCTTTAAAAAATGATATTCCGTCATCTTTCAAATCAATTGCCTATAAGAAAAAATCTTTTTAAAATAAATAAATAAATAAATAAATAAAAATTAAGATTTCAATATGTATAATAATATTTACCACCACATTTGCTCTTAATCTTTATATTAAAAAAAGTTCCGTTTTAAATTAAATATTTTTTTTTTTTTTGAGGTAATGGATTATGATTATCGGCAGCTCAAGAATTATTAAGTCAATCAATTACAAATAATATTTACCCCCCAGTAACGATAAATGTATTCCCCTTAAGTTGCATGATTTGAAGTATAGAGAGTATCGGACGCTAATAATCGGCGTTTTAATTATATAAGATTAGAAGTCGAATCAAGCCTTGGTTTATTTATTTATTTTTTTGGAATATATGAAATGCTAGACTGGACAGAAGTTTAAAGATGGAATACATATTGCTTGACGTTAAACGTCATATCATTTGACTCTGGAGTACAAAGTACGGTTGTTAACATCATGTACCGACAAAAAAAAAAGATGTGATTTAAAGGAGATATTTAAAAAATATTACAAATGTTGAAACAATATTATAAGATCATGTTCAATAAAAAAAAAACAAAACAGAAAACTTAAAAATGATAATTACTAGATATTCCGATATAACAGGAACTACTATATATAATTCCTTAACTCCTTTAAGTAATACTAATGGGGAGAATTATGTTTTTAAGGCTAAGAAATTATTAGAGGAGCCATAAGATCGTTTATGGTTAAAGAAAATTTGGCCAAATTTCAAAATTATTGAAAAAGATGAACAATACTAAAAAAATCATACTACATCATAATACAGGATGAATAAAAGTGTTGATGAGCCTAATAAATCGCTCTTATGTATAGGATATTATAAAAATAATTAAGAATAAAAAGCTAATTACAGGAAATCAAGTCTATAAGATTGCAAATTATTTTAAATATTAACAAAAATAATCAATTTATTTAGCAATAAAATAGGAAAAAGAAATAAATTTTATTATTTATAAAATGACTGTAGCAATAAAAAAATAGCAAAATTTAGTAACATAATAATCTATTATTATGAATAATAGAATAATAGTGTATAAAATGAATTTTTAACATTTTTTACCAACGAAAAAAATAAATATGATTTCGCACTATCGAAACATAATTACCGAGAAAAATCATCTGTGCAGATCACGTGTAGCCTGGAAACAAATCTGACGTTGTTTTGGACGTTTACCGTACAATGATTTATTTTTCGTGCTTTTACAACTTTAAGATTAGGGTTAGGGTTAGGGTTAGGGTTAGGGTTAGGGTTAGGGTTATGGTTATGGTTGTATTAGAATGTATAATTTGTTTGGGTACATATATTTATAATTTACCAAGTGCAAAATCAACAAAATAATATTGGTACTGTAAGATAGTAAGTACATATTGAAATTTAATAAAAATAATATATAGTAGATTATAAAATAAAAATAACTTAATAAATAAAATAACTTAATAAATAAAAATAACTTAATAAATAAAAATAACTTAATAAATAAAAATAACTTAATAAATAAAAATAACAATAAATAAGAATAACTTAATAAATAAATTTATAATTTTCCTAATTTAATACCAGCGTCAATTCTGATGATTTCACCATTCATATAAGTATTCTCAATTAAATGAATAACTAGCTTATTAAATTCACCATCTGCTTTACCAAATCTACCAGGGTACTCAATTTGATTTATCAATGTTTGGGTTAATCTTTCATCTGCAGCAGCTGATACCATTGGAGTATCTAAAAAATTTCAAAATGATAAATATTACTTTAATCAATATTAAACATAATTATTAAACAAAATAATGTATAATGCTATAAATACCAAAAAATCCGGGAGCAATAGTAACAGCTCTAATACCAAATTTAGATAAATCTCTCGTCATAGGTAAAGTCATTG